ACTCCAGCTCCATGGCCTCCAGGTAGTGCCGCCGCCGCTCCTCGGACCGCCAGCGCTCCGCCTCTCGCCCCACCCTAGGTAGCAGGTAGCTCTCGAGACGGTAAACGTAGTCACTGCTCCCGGCTCTGGACGGGTAGCTTCCCTCGCTCACCAACAGCCATGGTTTGTACGCAGCGCGCACAGGATCACCCGAGCGCAAGGGCTAGCGCACAGGAACGCAGTTTCTATGCCAGCTGAGGTCGACTTGGCCTCCGATGTTGATGCAAAAAATGTCTGACCCTCCACACTGTCCACAATCCCTCCCCACCCTCCTGCGCGGAGCGGCCGCGACTTGTCCCCCCACCGCAGCCCTCACCTCCCTGTGGTCACCGGCCTGCCACGGACTGTGCGGCCGCCTGCGGCCTCCTTAGAACAGACGCCGCTTCAGCTGGAAGGACTGAGCTCCATGGATCCACGGCTCTCCAGTGGGTGCTGGGGCCGGGCTCCTGTGACGCCAGGCACCGCCATCATTAAACACGATTGTCTCTCTCCTTTCTCACCTTGCTGGCACTCAGAGCAGGGCTTCCTGTGCGGGCACTGGGCTGCGGGCACTCCCTCTCCTGGCGCCTTGCCCTTCCTGCCCGCACATGGGGTCTGAGCTCATTCCAGGCGTAGCTCGCCTGCCCCACCCGGGCCTCAGAGCAGCAGAGCCCGGCTACCCCTGGTCACCGGGGGACCTTGAGCAGTCGGTCACTTGGCCATTTTGAAACTGCCCGCTGTTCACTTTTGCCAACCAGCGTGCTCATGGTGTGGCGGCTCCCGGGTAGCGTGGGGCCGTGGGAGCCCTGGTCTCTGTGGAAGGCAGTGACTCGTGTGGGCATGGCGGTGGGGCTGGCGGGCCGGGCAAGGAGGACCTAGTCCGGTGTCAGGCTTCTCACGGAAGCGAAGCAGCTGTGAGCTTGGCTTGTCTTCCAAGTTTTCTTTCTATTCCCATTTACAACGATGGGTCTGGCATGGGCCCTCGTTTTCCGCTTTTTACGGGAAAGCAGTTATTTTGGAATCTGTCTGGACGACATGGGTCGCCTCGCGATGGAGACGAGCTGTGGCGGGCGCGGCAGGTGCGCTGCTGGAGCTGAGCGCTGACACCCACGCGCCGGCACCGCTGTGTGAGGCGCACAGTCCTGGCTGCGTGGGTTTCAGTCTGCTCCGAAGGTGGGCGTCCGTGGGGATGGAGAGCTTCGTGGCACGTGTGCGGCCCCAGGGGGTGCCGGGAGGATGGGGCAGTGTGCAGCCCGCCCGCACACTGACGCGGTGCGGGGCTCCCGTGACTGTGGCGCCCCTGGAACACGGCTGTGCATTCCTCCAGAAAGGGAAGCTCCTCACGGGCACCCCAAGGCTCCTTCTAGAAAGCACAGCAGGGTTAGTGCTGCTGCCGATCGGCGCCTCCTGCTTCCAAGTCATAAGGACCTGAAGGTGGTCCCTTCTCTCTCTCCCCTCTCTCCCTCTCTCTCTACCGGGGTTTCTTCCTATGGTCTTGCCCTGAACACAAGAAGAGGTTTCATCCCTCCCTCCCTCTCTCCCTCCCCCCCTCCATCTCAGATGGCGACTTTGCTGACAGCTGCCAAGAAAACACTCCAGTCACCAGTGCACATCAGCCCAGGGATGTGTGTAGAGCTGTCTGACTCTCAGCCCCCCGCCCCCCCAGTCTGAGGCTGTGTGCTTTTTAAGTTGGTTGGGAAGCGGCGCTGGTTCACCCAGAGAGTTGAATGCGTCTGTAGGGCTGGGGCACGGACAGCCACGCACTCCTGTGCGCCCGGCGCTCCTTGTGCAGGGTCTCACCCAGCTCCCTGACACGGTCCCAGCGCCCCGTGCCCTGCGCTCCCAGCGCTGCCGTCCCCCTGCCTTCCCCAGCACTAACCACTTGGTTCCACTTTCCTCCCTGAATGCATTATTTGCATATCAACTTCTGTAAATGTTTTGTAAACCTATTACCTCATCTTGGTAATACAATACTGATAGTCTTTACAAGATTTTTTATTGTTATCGATAATAAATGTGAGCTGTTTAAAGAAAAGTGTCTTCTCTTACTGTGACATCTCCTGGAAGACCCTGTCCTTCTTAAGGGGCTGGAGGCGGAGGAGGCGACACCAGAGCGAGGCTGCCTGTGCCACGCTCACTGGCTCGCAGTGCCCGCGGGCCGAAGGCTGCAGTTTTCCCTCAGCGCACAGCACGGCCTGACACGGAAGTGGCCCGAGGCCCGAGGCGATGTTTCTGTAGTAGAACAGCGGTTCCCCAGGCAGGTGGCTGCAGGCGGAGCCGATGGGCAGGGGGCCTGCAGGGTGGCAGGCTCACGTGGGCAGAGCAGCTCCTGCCTCCCCTGTGCCAGGACCTCCAGGTGCGGGATGTGTTCTCGAGCAGCAAGCAGGCTGCACCGCCCCGCGTGCATGTGTGTGGAGAGGCTTAGGGTGGTCAGACACACCCCAGGTTCGGAGTCTGACTGTAACAAGCAGGGACAGGAATGCTTTCCTGCGTTTGATTCTGTAATCCCAGAGTGAGCAGCTCCGGCGCGCAGTGTGCAGATCGGAGGGAAGTGGATGCCAATGAGCGGGACGTCGGTTCTGTCTGGGGCCTGTTCTGCCTCCCTGCGATGGCACCGGACAGCAGCAGGGTTTGTCTCCCTCCCGGCACGCCCCGAGCCCCGAGTCAGCGTGTGTCCTGCCCCTGGCGGGCTGGGTGTCTGCAGGCCCTGACGCAGGCGTCCCGCTGCGCTGACTCCCCGCCCAGGCCTCAGCTCTGCCCTTGACTCGTGGCGTGACCTCGGGGAAGCAGTCGGCCCCTTTAAATCTCAAGGTTACTCTCTGGTGGCAGGAGCTGGCGTGCGTGGCGTGTCGGCACCGAGCCTGGAACACGCGTGGCAAGTGTCCTGTACACGTTAGCCGCTGGGATGAGGCAGGCAGTGACCGCGACTCAAGGCTGAGTCAGGCCCTTCCGATCGCACACTCGGGGCTCAGCCCTTCTTGCCAGGCGGTCCGGCTGATCATCCGCCAGGCCCGGAGCCACTTCGCTTCGTCCTGCAGGCGCAGCCCAGCCGGCGTGGCCATCGCTGTCTGCGGTGCTTCCCACCGCTCCACCTTCACGGCCGTGGCGGAAGGCAGAACCCCACACCGGTGTTCAGCCAGGCCGGGCACCCGAGTCCGCTGGTCCTGCGGGTGGTCCTGGACGGGCCCCGGATGGGCACGGGGCCCAGAGCCGGGTGCAGCCACACCGCCCCGGGGGCCAGCTCAGGTGGGCTCCCCAGGCCAGGGGCTCAGGCCACCGTGAGGGTGGTGGTGGTTGAGAGGCCAGCTAAAGCACCAAGGACGGTAACAGTCCGCACTCTCCGGCTGAGTCTTGCTGAACTCCATTGGGTCATTAAAAGATCAATGAGCCCAGCCCCGTAGCCCAGAACCCCTGGCCTTGGGATTTCACAAGGTCCCGCCTTGGGCGCTTCCCCAGGACCCAAGCCAGACCTCGGTCCCCAGCGCGTCCGAGCCTCCCGTAGGACTTCAGCAGAGGAGCCGCCCTGAGCCACGGGGCCAGCACGCGCCCACGGGGCTTCTGCCTGTGAGCCGGGCCGGCGTGGCACCGCCCTCCGTGCCCCTGTGGACGAGGACTGCTGCTCACCAGCCCAGCAGCCTTTCTCAGGCCACGGGTTGTCAGACGGTCCTGGTGGGGCCCCCACACCTCGCCCTGTGTAACCTCACTGGGAGGGTAGACACTCCTTCCACGGAACTTATGCTGGGAGCGTCTGCGGGGTTCACGCTGCGCCCCAGAAAGTCCCGCGGCCTCAAACGACGGCTTCTTCCTGGGAAATGGAGCGAGTCCTCCAGGCTCATTGGAGGGTGCGTCCAGGTGGCGGGCGGAGCGCAGGCTGGTCTGCAGGGCCTAGGACGCGAGGAACGCCTTGAACAGGGCCAGAAGCCCCCACAGTGAGCGATGCCGGGCTCAGAGGTCTGGGGAGCGGGGTGCTGTTGGCCAAGGGGGGCCTCCCACAGTCCAGAATCCTCTGGGCAGCTCCGAGACCTGGGCCCCGCTCTGGCCGTCCAGGTCCCCCCGTGGATCTGTGGATCCTGGACGAGGAGAAAGTGACTCCTGGGGTCTCCAGGGCTTGTGCTGAGAGCCCCCGGCCCCCAGCACCACGGGACTTCCAGGCAGCCCCCCACGGAAGGGCCCAGCTCACTCTGGTGGTGGCTGCCCACGTCCTCCCTGGGCTCTGCGCTCGGCCCTTAGTAGAAGTTAAAAAAGCCGTGTGACGAACAACGTCAAACGCATGGACCATCGTCTTACTTAACCAGCGGGAGCGTGTGCCATACTGACTCCGTCTGGTTTCCCCTAACTCTAAAGTACGTTCCAGCTTCGTGACATTCGTGTGCCGTGTTCGGTGCTGCAGCTCCAGAGCCCAGAGGACCGTGGGGAGTGGGAGCGGGCGAGCGGAGGAGTGGGGGGCCGTGGGTGTCGGGCCCTGCGGCACCAGGAAGGCTGGCTGTGGGCCTGCGGGACTGCTGGGTGCTCTGACTCCTCCCACTTTCGGATGGGGACACGCACCCAACACCCATTCCGACGGGCGACAGTGCCACCTGCTGGAGCACCCTGGGGTTTCCGCGGCTTTTCCTGGGGTGACTGGCAACTCCGGACGGAGGAACAGACTTTGCTGCCCTCTCTGAGTGCCTCGAGCGTCGCGTGTGTGAGAACTCGTGTTCCAGCCGTCACGCGTGGTTTAGAAAACACGGAGGAGACCCGGCTGTCGTGAGACCTCAGAGCTCTGCCCGGGTCAGCGTGGAAACACCTCGGGGGCACCAGGGGGCGCTGGCGAGGCAGGCGACGAGGGGGATGGGAGCAGGAGGAAAGGGAGACCCAGCGACCTGTTCTTTTCTGTCTTAGTCCTTGTCCTTCCATAAACAGAAAAGGCTGCCCAGCCCAGCTCTGCGCTGGAGAAAGGGGGGCGGAGGGGGCGGGGGCACAGCCGGCTCAGACCCTCCGTGCGGAGCCTCAGGTCCTTGGTCCAGAGCTCAGGCCGGGAGAGCTCGGCGGGCCTGGGCCTGGGCCTGGGCCTGGGAGGGCTCACGGGGCTTGTGCTCTAGTTGGGTGAGGGGGGCAGGGAGAGCATAAACTGGGGCCTGTCTGTAGCTCCCCCATACCCGCCTTTGGTTGGGGCCTGTCTGTAGCTCCCCCACACCCCCCTTTAGCTGGGGTCTGT